TTTTCAATCTTGGCACTGTTGACATATTGGGCAGAATACGTATTTGTTGTGGGAGCACTGTCCTGTATACTGCAGGACATTTAGCATCATCCCTGGTCTCTACCCACTAGATACTAGTAGCACAGTACCCCTGCCCCCCCACCCTCCGCTTATAGAAACCAGCGAGGTCTCCAGACATTGCCAAATATTCACTGAGAACAAAATTGCCCCTGTTGGAGCATGCTAGGCCAAAGATCTACACACAAATGTGTATCAGAATTACCTGGAGGGCTTGTTAAAACACAGCATTGAAGTTCTCATTATAAGTCAAAGGTGCTGCTTGAGAATTGCATTTCCAATAAATTATCAAGTGATACTTACGCTGCTGGTCCAGGGACCATACTTCAAGAACCATTGCTGCAGACACCACAAGTTTCCTTTAACAAACATCTGTCACTTTCCTTGAGGGTTTTCTCCGGTCACATGTATGACCCCCCATCAACTAGGAATGAAATGCCAGGGAATAAATGCCCTCCAGAGTAATTGTCAGCAATGAGGGAAGGGATTTGGTGAATGAATACTTCATATCCCTCAGCTCTCAGGTGATACAAAAGGGAGGCACATTCTTCATAGCACCCCAACCCCAAGGTTTCTGACAAGATCAAGCTACCGTGGCATGTAGCAGTCATCCATTCATTAATTAACCTCTGCTGGCTTCTTTACTTCTCTGTCTCATTTTCTCTGTTCTCTACTGGTGCTTCTTGGGAGTACCTTCAAAATGAACTACTTGCACTCAAATCCTTACCGCATGGTCAGCTGCTGGGTGAAGCCAAAATAAAGCATACATTATAAATATAATTTCTAGCTGATACGGTTTGGCTCTGTTTCCCCACCCAAATCTCATCACGAATTGTAATCCCACATGCCCAGGGAGGGACCTAGTGATTGGATCATGGGGGCAGATTTTTCCATGCTGTTCTGAAGACAGTGAGAGAGTTCTCATGGGAGCAATGGTTTTAAGTGTGGCACTTCCTCGCTCTTTTTCTCTCTCTCTCCTGACACCATATAAGACATGCCTTCCTCTTTGCCTTCTGCCATGATTGTAAGTTTCCTGAAACCACTTCAGCCATGCAGAACTGTGATAAATTAAACCTCTTTTCTTTATAAATTACCCAGTCTCAAGTAGTCACTTTATAGCAGTGTGAGAATGAACATATACACTAGATTTTATTTTTTTTATTTTCATTTATATTTTTGTAGACATGGAGTCTTGTTATGTTCCCCAGACTGGTCTTGAACCTACCACTTCAGCCTCTGTAGTAGTGTTGGGACTATAGGTGTGAGCCACTGAACCTGGCCTAGGTTTCATTTTATTTATTTTATTTTATTTTTTGAGACAAAGTCTCACACCGTCGCCTGGGCTGGAGGACAGTGGTGAGATCTGGGTTCACTGCAACCTCAACCTCCCAGGTTCAAGTGATTTTCCTACCTCAGCCTCCCTAGTAGCTGAGATTAGAGGCACCTGCCACCACCCCCAGGTAATTTTTTTGTATTTTTAGTAGAGACAGGGTTTCACCATGTTGTCCAGGCTGGTCTTGAACTCCTGACCTCATGATTCACCTGCCTTAGACTCCCAAAGTGCTGGAATTGTAGACATGAGCCAATGTGCCTGACCTTTTTTCAATTTTTAACGAGCTGTTAATTTTAAACCCCTTAGTTCAGTTTTTTTTTTTTTTTTACCAGCTGCTAATTTCTAATTTGCCTCCTTTGCCATGGAACATTGGTAGTCTGGAGATACTGTTAGTTGTCAAAAGTGTGACTGGGAGGTGGTGCTGGCATCTAGAAACCCGTGGGGCTACTAACCATCCCACAAGGCACAGGACAGCCCCTACGACAGACTTACCTGGTCCTCAATTTCATTAGTGCTAAGATTGAGAAACTGAGGTCCAAGGAGAAAAAGGAGAAACTAATTTCCAATGAAGATGCATACTCAGAAGTATGCAAGTGTCCTCTCTGAAATTAAAAGCTTGAGGTTCAAGTTCAGAGACTGATAAATTGTGGCCATTCATCTACTTCAAAAATAGTAAGCATATTCATGTCGTTATTTTTTTTTCCTTTCCTGTGAATTAGTATTCCTAGATTTACTTCCATAAGATCTTTGAACTCTTTAAAAGAATAAAAAAGAGCTTTCTCAAAGCAAATGTTCAGTTTGCAATGGATCATCAGACTTGTTCTAAAGAAATACCAAATTAATTTTTGACGTAAGATTGAATTATTGAATTGCCATTATACAGCTGGAAGTTGTTATATTTGGATAGCTGGTTTTAGATTTTCTCATCTGTTTATATTGTATGATTCAAACAGGTTTCTGGATACCTAACACATAAAGCATTTTTGTTAGTGTAATGTTTTGAAATGTTGAATGCTAAAAAAATGTTCAATCAATGCAAGAAAATTAAACTTGATAAATATGTAATAAAAGATAATTGAAGAAAAAAGAATCACTGCATTAGCACCAAGCCCTTCTTTTTAAAATACAGTATTTGAGATAAGTAAACTAGCTTATGGGTCACTGGTTTGAAAAAGGAAAGAAAATGTGGGGAGAGTAAGAGAAGAAGCTTAATTTAAATATTTCTCTATAATTGTAATTTCTCAAAAAAATCAAATATAAATTGGCCACCTTAATTTTTGAACTTAATAGTGTGTTATTTTCAGAAGTTCAACTTTCACAGTGTCTTAATAATCAAGATTTTAGGTCTGGATAATTTTTAATACCATTTATTTCTCAGGAATCTGCTGTCACTTATTGAAGGTGTAAAATTCAGTTTAGTTTTTCTCCTTTTACAGGGAAAAGCCTGAAATACAGCTGGTAATTAGCTACAAATGAGTTTCTTTTGCAACTATTTTACAAAGAAAACTTCTTATTGACATTGGGTTACAGATGGAAATAAGTCGTTTTATGTCATAATACTTGATTTGGCTGAATTCTTGCCTATAAAATCCAGTTATAAAACAATCACTACTTTTGAAACCATAGGTTATTTTTGAAGGATTTTGAAAGATTATTATACAATATTATTTTTCTAGAAAAAATATATTTGTGTGTGTGTGTGTGTGTGTGTGTAAGAGAAAATGAGAGAATAAGAGACTGAAAGTAGAGGGAAAGAAGAGAGAGATGATGGATAAGAGAGGTGGTTAGGGGTATCTAATTAGAAATAGTTTTAAGGGAATGCATTTTTATGAGTTAATTTAAATTGTTAATTTTTTCCTGTGGAAGATATTATCTCTTAGCTGTAAAGTGAGAGATTCTACTAAATATCATCCAGGTGCTATTAAGTAACATTAAATAAGGCCCTCATTTACTAACTGAAGAGATTAGATGAAAAGATATTCTGTGTAAAGTAAGCAAATAGCTATTACATGTACATATTTTGTTGTGATTTATTTTGTTTATTAGAACAAAAGTGTTCAATATTTTTAAAGTTTTGAGATTTCCATCTCTAGAAGGGGAATTAAAAACTAGCATTCTCAGAGACAAAAAAGAGAAAGTCCTCTACATATTATAACTTGGGCATCATGTCTCATTTTTTTATGATTCTGAATAAGAGAGTTAAGCATCCCGAGCTATATTGGGTGGGCTTTTCTCCAAATCCACCCAAAATAGGAAGATGATTGTCATATTTACAGCTTTAGATAAACTGTAATACAAAGTGATTTGCTTTAAGAGTGATTATATATCTAGCTTAGAGATGCATAGTTCATGAATGGAAAATATCATGAGATTTAAATTCCTTTTGGGAGCACAAAATGATAATTAAAACACAAATCACACTAGAAAGAATTTTATATTTACATGTCACCAGATGAGGTCATTTTATAGACTTTGCCCTTTTTTTATTTTTTATTTTTTATTTTTTTGAGGCAGAGTTTCACTCCATCACCCAGGCTGGAGTACAGTGGTGCAATCTCGGCTCACTGCAAACTCTGCCTCCCAGGTTCAAGCAATTCTCTGCCTCAGCCTCCGGAGTAGCTGGGATTACAGGCACCCACCACCGTACCTGGCTATTTTTGTATTTTTAGTAGAGATGGGGTTTCACCCTCTTGGCCAGGCTGGTCTTGAACTCCTGAGCTCATGATCCACTTGCCTCTACCTCCCAAAGTGCTGGGACCACAGGTGTGAACCACTGCACCCGGCTGGCTTTGGCCATCTTAATGCAGTTTATTATCTTTTGAAGGCTACTTTAAAAATCAGGATAGCGGTTTCTATCTAGAATACACAGATCAAAACAAATGGAAACATTTGCCACCTTTGAAAAACCACTCCTCAAATGAATGCTGGGAATTCTAGTGACCTAAAGGAAAGATCAGTTAGAATACTTAGATTAAGGGTGAGCTTTGTCTTGCAATAGCTATGTTACCCAAGGCAAATCAGCCAACTACTCGGAGAAAGAGTAGTCCCATGTGGAAAATGATTGGCTAACTTAATGTAACATAGGTTACCCTGTTGAACAAGAATGATCAGATTCTGCACTCCTCAGTGTGGGAAAACACATGCAGTGAGGTATGCTGCTTCAGCAAGAATGCACTAAACAGTATTACACTGCTTGCAAGAGTGACTGTACACTGGTAAGCATTCAAAATCTGTCAGGAAATAGAGAAGCACTAACTGTTTAAGGAAATGTTTGGGATATTGTGAAGAAGGGTATACATGCACGGTGCTGCTGTTGTTTTGAGTATTGTTATCTGCTATAAGCTGCCATTAGTGGATCAGAATTGCATGGTGAGGCAAAGGTCCAGCTGAACACTGCTTGACTTGATTTGGTGAGGACAAATTCAGTAGAGTGAAAGTCCAATATGAAGAAGTGGAAACAAGCACATAACCACTCAGAATTCAATTTCAAAATTAGATATCGTTATTGTTGACGTACTCATTTGTGGAATGATATTTAATGTAGCAGGAACCATTTTTGAAGTATATCCAAGTTGGCCCAGAATTACTTTTATTCTTTTCCTTTGAAGATGCAGTAAGACAAAGGATGATGAATAATGAAGGGACGGGGGATTACAAGGGCAAGATGGAAATTCAGGTGATTGTGAAGTCAATGGTGGTGAATGAAAGAACAAGGATATGCTTTAAACTGGGATTCATCATAGGTCAGTTTCTTCAATCTCTAATGGCCCAGTCTAGCAGTGTTTTTATTTGAAGGGAATCCAGATGCATTCAAGTAAATGTGATTATCCAACAAATTGGATACAATGAGATTCAATAAGAATTGTTTTCTTTTATATTACCATCATCTATAAGAAAAAATAATACAGGTATCCATGGCTCTTTCAGAGTACTCAGAGGGTTATAAAACATTTTGCTGCTTTACTGTTATGTCTTGTGCTTTACTTGTTTTAGGCTGCATTAAGAGTAAAATTTTTGATACCTCAAGCCAAATTTCTGACGCTTTGGTTTAATGAGTGGGACAAGAATATTGAGATGAAAGTGTAACACATTCTTTTTACTTCTAAAGCATGAGACCCATTTTCAATGTAAAGCATAAAGCCAGGAACTCTTCTGGCTACTAGATAGCATGTATTTATTTTTATTTCAGTCCTGCAGCTACAGGGCAAAAATGAGAGTGAGAAAAAAAAGGGAGAAGCCAAATAATATAACTGTATTTCATTTTCAATTATCTGTTTTTGGGGAAGACAGGAAAAGGGTATTAGTCAGTGTTTAGACTGTAGTTTTTTGTTGTTGTTGTTGTTTTTTTAACATATATACAAAAAAATCCCAACATCTTTCTGATTGATAAAGTGAATAAGGTTAGAATGAAAAGCAGGAAGTATTTTTCAATCACACCATTTTCTTTTAAAACAAAGTCAACCCTTAAGGGACACTGAGGCCTTAGCCTGTGTGTTCAGGGCATAACAACAGAATAGAGTAACATTAATTTGAAGATGAGAATGTTCTTACTCCTTAGAACTGGGCATATCTTTCCTGCTTCTCTTTCACAGCTGTCACAATAAAGCTGAATTTTAAACAGTTGTAAACAAAGCATTTGAACCTATGAGAGAAAAATTATAGAGACAAAACCAAAATCCACAAGTCAAATCTGTTACGGTATAATGTGGATCAAGAAATTGTTTAGATAAACCCCAAAAGATATATAACATTTAATTTGACAGCTTTTCCAAGAAAGCAACCTCATTGATTTAGGTTTCAATATGCTAACCCAATTCTGGAAAATTCAGGCTATAAGTATTTAGTTGAACTGAAAGAAAGTTAACTGCTGTTTTAATTTTAAAGGATATTGCAAAGGTTAGTGGTATGTTTTTATGAGCATAACATGCACAATTACAGCAGGGATGATTGGTCAGAGTGGATTATATTTTACACATAATTAGTTTAGACATGTGTTGGAGCCACTTAGTAGAGGAGAATGTGGCTGGTTTTGCTAATACTTGATTCAGCTTTGGCATATTCATTTTTAAAAAGCATCTGCCTTTGACTTTTCATAGTAAAGCAGTTTTTGTAATAATATTGGGTAAATAAATAACTTCCAAAGCTATATGTTATCTTAAGTAATGTATGTCATTATTGATTTTTTTCCAGTAGTAAGAAAGTTGATAGTTGGAATTGTATGTAGTTGCCATAGTAACACGCACCAGTCCATTTATCTTGAAGTGGAAGCACACAATTAATCTGTTTTTAAACCTATTTTACTATGAGAACGTCCACAGAATGCAATAACAGAGATCTGTAGTCCTGATAATTTTTGTCATTTTTTAACTGCAACTGTCTAAATAATCTTTTCAGATTAAAAAATGTTAATTAGTAGAATTATTTTAAACTTAAGAATAAATAAACACATTTTTCTGTAAAAAAAACAAAGCTTCCAAAATATTCAGAGTCCTTTGTATTATTTTACATTTTATGGAGTTCATTAATATTCTACACAAACAAATTTTAAATATATGAGTCTTTTATTACTTTTACATTATGCATTTATTTAAAATGAAAATAACATTCAACTTAAGGTGGCAAATGTAACATGGCTCCAGAATATATTAACATATTTTATTTTTATATCATGTATTATTCGGCTTAAATTTGCATGTGCATATGTCTCTATTTCTGTGTTAATGTGTAGTTTTCTCTCACAAAAACTACTCCCGGTATTCATCAATTAATGTTAAATGAGGTTTTTAATGTTTTTGATAAGCTGATGTTAATCTATATTTCTAAAACAGGGTCACAAAATTAAATGGCTATATGAGTTAGCCAGGCAATGAAAATCAGTGAAATGGTCCAGATGGAACACGACAATGAGCAATGTGGCCTGGAAATCAGATGGCCAGAAGAGAGGTGGCAGCTCCACCTTGAACCCCTGTGAGTACTGATGTATGCAATGTGCATCCAAACTTTTCCTGATTTTTAAGAGAAGTCAGAATTTTGAATGCCGATATAAAGTCTGTTTGCATATAAATCCAGGAAACCAAGGCAATCGAATTTTTGAAGAATACAGCAGGAAGGGTCATAATCATCTGCAGTTTTCATCTGGATCACCAGCTGTCATTCTGCGTATCCTACTTACCTCAAGGGGCAACTTCAGTCTTGAAAACAGAACATCATAAGATGTTGGTGCCACTTGATCCAACTGGAAAATACCAGCATTTACATTTTTATTTTACAGATGCAGAAAGCAGTATTTAACTGACTGGCTGTCACTCACATCATGAGTCAGAAGCAGCCTTAAAAGAATGGATCCCTTCTGCTATTTAAAAATATAATCTTGGGTCTAATGATTGAAATTACATGTTTGGATCATTGAGGAATAATGAAATACTTTGGACTTGAGCTATGTGGGTAAATGATTGAATGATGCAAAGGAACTTTGGTTGTGGAGCCTGTGTACAGAGACAGCGCAGGGAATGTCCAGTAATACTATTGTTACCTTAGATTCTATGTTATGCATTGAAATAATCATGGTTCCATGGTTGTATTTAGTAAGTCACTTTAGAAAGCAACAGTTTTGAAATAAGAAGCTCTGGAAATGCCAGGCTAGAGCTTTGTTGTGGCCACTAGGTACAGGGGACAGGAAGGAAGGAAAAGTGAACAGAAAGAGTGGAGGAAACACCGCATGTGGCACAGTTCCAGAAGTCCCTATGCTTGCCCTTGGGTAGAGGTGGCATCTACCACTACTAACTCTTTTTTGGCTCTTCTGTTTCCTCTGATTTTTATAAAATCAGCCTGATATATTACTTCATAACAGAGTTATGAAAAAAGATCTTTGGAATCCCAACCTTTGAAGCTCTACCCTCCCTTTACTCTAAAGGTCAGTCAAGGGCGTACATAGAGATTTCTGACAAAATATTAATAGAATGTGAATTGTTGCTAGAGTCGGATTAATTAAGCCATATGATAGAGCTTCACTAAATTTCTTAAGGTCAGGAGTGAGGGCTTTGTTAAAGAAAATATTTTAAAGTAGCCTCAGTAGCATATTAGAAAATGTGATGAATTTGGAGGTTGTGGTCATAAATTTGACTTGGAACTCTGCCATTTTTTACCAACTGGGTGATATACAGCAAGTCACATAGCTTCTTGTGCTCTTTGATAACTATGTATCTTCAGATGCATATGTCATGAGTTTTTGTGATTGTTTCTAAAATATCTTTTTTCTTTTATGAAAATAAATCTATGCTTATTATTAAGAATAGATAACTTCATTATCTAATGTGAACTATTGTATTAGAATGACTACTATAAAGAACAATGCCATATTTCAGATACTTTAAGGAATTTTTATATAAAAATATAAAAATCTAATAGAGAAATGAACTCACAATAAAAGTCAGTCTACAATAAATAAATCATATAATATTATTCCAGACAATGAATTATTGAAGTGATTGAATGAAACAAAATAACTTCTAAAATAGTTAATATTCTTTAACAATTTTACACCATATTCCCATAAAACGTAAGCTGTACTTCTTACAAAAAGCATAACTTAAAAAATTCTAAATTTGAAATAAGTTCAAATTTACAAAAGGAAAACAAAGAAGTTGCAAACATAATATGTTGATTTCCCATATACACTTTACTTCTCCAAATGTTGTCTTACACAGACACAGTACAATTTATCAAAATCAGATCATTAATGTATCCAATACTATTAACTGATTTTTCAGATTCTACTCACAATGTTCTAATTGTCCCATTCATATCCTCTTTCTAGTCCAGTATCCAATTAAGGATCTTATATTGCTGTAAGTTTCATGTCTCCTTAGGCACATACAATGAAAAGAATTTCTTAATCTTTCTTTGTCTTTATGTCACTTTATCTTTCAAGAGTACTGGCCAGTTATTTTTTAGAATTTTTCTCCATTTGGCTTTGTTTGAGAATTGCTGTGATTTGATTGAGGTATTGCTGGCCAGAATATCCCTGGTGTGAATGTTGTGTCTTTCCTGGCACATCATATTAGGAGGTACATGAAGTCAACATGCCTCATTCTGGTTACTTTAACTTTGATCTCTTGGTTAAGGTAACTTTAATTTTTAACCGTGTAAAATAAATGAAAATTATCAACATTTCAGTCTTCTTTAAAAAAAATTTAGCAGTACATATAACTCCTAATTAGGTGCTATCTGAAATTGAGCCTAATATAAAGTATAATAATTGACCCTCACTAGACAGGGGATTCTAATAAAATATCATTATACATTTTGGTAAGCTTATTAAAACTTAATAATAGTATAAAATAAAAACATTAATTCTTTCTATACTTTGATACTTTTGTTACTATTTACATGGAGATAAAAATAGTCTTAGCTACATTATGGAGAAATCTAAATTTAATTTATAAAGTTTAATATAGCTTTAGTAAAAGAATATTGTGACACATGAGAAGTATTTGAGCAAAAATTTTCTTTGCTAATTTTGCTTTTTAAGATTGTTTCAGAGCTGTGATATCCATTTCACTATTAAAATGTGGCTTATGACTAGTAATTTCTTAGGTGTTCTGTAACACATCTGTAAAGGTTAAGTGACATTTTCTTCCATCTTCTTTGATTCTACTAGTGTCTCTGATGATTTTCCCCAAATCATAAAGCAGGCTTTCAGACATTTTCAGGACATTGATACAATGCCCCTTAAAGGTGTTTCCTTGGGTTTTGATTTGCAGCTGCTTCATAGACTCCTGAGGGCTATGTCCCATTTCCCCAGGGAGAGTATCTCCTCATCTTGCAGTTGGAGAGATGTTACTTCTTATATTTAGAGATGAAAACAGTAAAATAGAGGTTTGTCTTTAAAGGGAAGCATTCACAGCTCATTTTAATGCTTGGCCTTTCAAGACAAGATAAGAAGCTAAATAAAACATTTTTCTATAACAACCGAATTTCCACATTGGTAAGTCTTTTCTGTATCTTTCATAATAATTAATTAGCAAGAACGAAGTTATGATTCAGAAGCCCATCTGATGAAAGTGAATTGAGGTTGGATTTTTTTTTTTTAATGCATCTCTCAAACAGCTAACCAGTAATAGTCTCACATGTCTTCTCAGTCTGAGAGTCCTCAAAAGCCTGTGCTTACTTAATGACATTTGTTAATCTCTGAGTAGACTGAACATACATGTATAATTATAGGGGTTTGGTAATAAAATAAGACAAGTGTTTGTAGCAGTTTACAAAGTGCTTTTATATACCCTTGTCATCGATATCATCACATTATTCTTTGCAACGGCAATCGTGGGAGATTTTATTACTGCTATATTATAGAGAAGGAAACAATGTCTGAGTGAGGAAATGATTTGCTGAAAATCACACAATTATTCAAGAGATATCCTTGAGACTTAAACCCAAATCTTCTGACAGGAAAAGCTGCCATCTTATCATTATGCTACCCTGCCTCTTTTATAGGAGTCATGGTCAGCTTACAAAGTAGGGCTCTGAAGACTCTTTACTTTTAGACCTCTTCAAATGGGATTGGCATAAGGAAATGATGAGATTATGTTGAATTTACTTCTCTGTCTTCAGATGACTTTCATATTATCTCCCATTGAGATCTCTCTTCTGAGCTACAGAAACACATACCCAATTGCCCACTTAATATCTTCCTGTGTATGTCTGAAAGACATCTCAAAATTAATATATCCCAAATTATCAACCCCCTTCCAATCCCACCAAATCTGTGTCCTCTCTCAGTGAATATCACATCATGTGGTATTCTATGAACTCTAGTAACAAGAAGGAAACACTGACATCTCCTTCTCCCTCCTTCTCTTCTTCCCTCACCATAGCCAACATATGAAAATCCTGACAATTTTAACTCCTAATTTTTTTTCAAGTCTGTACTCTTTCCACATCTCCATTTCGATCATCCTAAACCAGATGATCATCATCACAGCCTGGACTCCTGCCATAGCTTTATGTTTGGAGCTCCTACACCCGTTCTGGCCATTCTCCAAAACATTTTCCACTCTGTGGATAGAAGGTTTTTTTTGTTTTGTTTTGTTTTTTTAATGCAGATTTGATCCTGCTTAAAACACTCTTTGGCTTTTCATTGCTCTTTGGATATATCCAAGATCAAATCCTTAACAAGGCTTATAAAACCTTGAATTGTTTGGCACCTGCCTAATTTTTCAACATCATTTCATATCCATCCAAAACAAATTCACAATTCCCAGGCTACCTCCCTCAATGGTAACTGCCCATCACCCTCCTGGCTTTCTTTTTTTACCCCGAGCAGGTTAGTTTCCATTGCACCTCAAGATTTTAGCAAACCCTGCACTTCTGCTTGGCATGTTCTCGTTTTCCACTAACTTTTACCTGTTTCATTTCTATTATTTTTGCTTGGATTCCAGTATAATCGTCCCTTCTTCAAGGGACTCTCCCCGGCCTTATAAATGCAGTCATATCCTCCCTCTAATGGGTCTGTGGATCTGTACCTAGTACCCACCACTCACAGTTGTAGTTATCATTCACTTCCGGGAGTCAATGTCTCTCTGCACCTCTCAAGTGTGATTTCCATGAAGGTTGAAATGTTGTTTCTCTTACCTGGCTCACCTTTGTGCCTCCTCTCCATCTACTATCACCCCTAACCAAATACCTAACACATTTGGTGAAAGGATGAGTATAAAAATACCATTTTCCCTGGGACTTTTTCATTTCGCTGGGGAAAGCTATGTTCCAGTGCAGGAAGAGAGGACTCCAGTTGTTGGGCCAGGTTCAGTAAAATATTTATCCCAAATAGCAAATATAAACAGTAGAGAGAGTGAAGTGCAATCCTGTAGGAAGCAAAATCAAAAGTCAGAAGACTGGTGAGCAGATATTAACAAATGAGGACAAGATTAGGTTATAAACTGAGCTGAGATTCAAAACCAGGAAGTCTGGTGATGAGATAAAAAAAATCTCATTATCATTAGGCTTGATCAACCTTCTTTGTTCCTTTTTGAGGTTTTTTTTTTTTTTTTTTTTTTTTGTAATAGCTCTGTAGTTTTTGCTTTGGAGAACGAACCCTTCTACATTTCAGGCTGTCTTGGAAACGTAATAGACCAAAAATAGTCAGGCTCTTCCTAGTTTAAGGCCAAACTGTCTCTCTGAAATTTTTAATCCTGAGTGAGATGACTCAACTACAAAACATGTTTGGAATTAATTCATTCCTTTCATTATGCCTTGAAGTCACAGAGCATTAATTCTGCTTACCTAGATACTTGAGTACCTTGGCTCTTGTTCTTTCTGAGACAAGCTATTTAGGTTTCCCTTGATTCCCATATTCTTCCAATAAATGCTTTTACCTATTTATCTATTTTATCTATTATCTATCTATCTATCTTTCTACCTACCTATCTACCTACCTACCTATCTGTCAATGAACTGTCTAGGCTTACAATAGTTAATGCTAGTTTCTGTTGCTTATGGTAATTTGCACATTAAAGTCACTGTAGGATTTAGTCTGTGAATGAATTGCAGGAAATTGATGCACATTTTTGATTAACAACCCAGTTCAAAACAAGTGAAAAAGATAAGCTGGGATGAAAACTATAAATGACATATGAAAAATTAGCACAATTTGAGGGATAAAATACATGCAAAATATGCCTTCTGTGGGAGACAATTTTCTTTCATTAAAAAACTGTAACAAATTAAATTTTTCTGGCAAGTAGACACGTTTTATTTTTATATGTATTTTAAATGGAATTATAATGGATGATATATTCAAGAAGATTGACAAAACTGCTTTGACAGCTCAAAGGAATAAAAGTTTAAAGGGAAAAATCAGCCCCCATTATGATATTCTGTGGCACAGAAAGAGAAGAAGGTCTGGCAGGGGGTCCTCTCAAGCTGAGACAGTGCCCCCTGACCATGTGGAAAATTGAATCCCTTTTTGTTTTAAATGCTGTTTTCAACTTTAGGATGAAACTTCCAAATACTTCCATTTAGTTATCAATCATTTTTGGGTTTTGAAAAAAAAAAAAAGCCATTTGTGTACTCGCTTGTTTTCTGCTTAGTTTACTTAGAAACTCTTAGTTTCTGCTCTCGATGTCATTCTCATTTCAGGAGCTCCCCTATAGAAGTTAGAGTCTAGAGAACAAAGTGATGCCCTTATGCTAGCTGATGATCCATATTCATAGGCATTTAAAAGAATAGCACAACAGAAATTACTATTTAAATGAATGGTACCCTGTCTTAAAGACAAAGGCCTCTGGTGACTTCTAGATTAATTCAATATACCTTAATTACTGTGCACTAGAAAAAGTTTATTGTTGATGTTATGGAGCAAATACTCTCAGAATTTCTGCCCCTTGAAAATCTTCTACAATTAAAGTTCTGGTTGTTAGTTATTTGCCTAAAATTGATTAAAGAATGACAGTATTTACATGATTATTTAATTTTGAAAGTTATTCATTAATTCTGCAGTATTGGGAAACCCACTCTATATCTGGCATTGCACTGGACACTGTAGTTATGAAGATTAGTCAGATGAAGTCTATGTCATCAAGTAAGTCAAAGTTTAATTTGGTAGAAAGAAATATACCTGATGTATTCAATATGATACATTTGGCTACAAGAAACAGAAAACTGGATTCTACTTCATGCATAGTAAAAGAAAATTCAACAGATCAAAAGTGAGAGCAATGCATCAGATTGCTTTTCATCATTTCTTTCTGTCATACTTAATGTGCTGTCTTTTTTCATAGACTTGTGCGTTCCATAGCATCAAGATGACCGAAGCAGCTCCATGCATACAATCCTCATGCAATAGTTTTCAAAAGCCAGAAGAGAGAAGGAGAGTCATGGGTCATCACTTCCTAAAGTTTTTTAATTTAATAATTTTAAAGTAAGAAAAATTGCCCAGACACCTTCAGACAGGCCTACTTTATTTTTCTTTAGTCAGAATTGTGCCCGATAATCATTTCTAAACCAATTATTAACAAGGGCAATGGAAATACTGACTTGTGTTTCAGTAGTCAAAATTTACCCTCTGGTGTTGGAAAGAGACCCAACATCAATTGAAGTGCATGACTACATGATTCTTGAACAAATGCAAATAAAGAGGAAAGTATGAATTGGATTTGTGTAGCTAACTGAAAGTCTACTACATGTAGAAAATTGTAATTCGAGATGAGTAGTGCTATAAAAGATAAATGTACAAGATCTATAAAATTTTGTTAAATAATTTGAGAATGAAAAATCTTTTTTATTTCTAAGTTGATTAGTTATGACTATAAGTGCAAGAAGAATTCACAGAAGGCTGAAAAAAAAAATCTTAAATCTTGGCCAATTCTTGTCAAAGCATAATTTCTTCATTAATAAACACCTCTTTTCCAGTGGAATGAAAAAAAATTAGGGAAAGAGAAAAGGGGAAACAGAGTTTCTTGCTCTGTTCTATCTCTGAATCCATATCAATTATTAATGTCATGTAACAATGTCTAAAATCTGGTTGAAAATTCTCATGAGTGTATTACGAAACTTTAATGAGATATCTGTATAAATGTAAGTTGTGGATTTTAAGTTCCCATACAAATATAATATGTATTCATGCATGTATATATTATACCTGTGTCTCTGCCCATACATCTTTTTCTCTGATCAACACATTCAGTCAATGCCACATCTATTTTTACAATGTCCTTTGTTAACTAATGCTGTGTACTAAATTCACAGTGCTACTTACAGCCAATTTCATCATAATTTACAGAAAATCAAAACTATCAAGAGAATACAAAATCAAAGTGACTTTTTGGCCAGATATGACTACAACATCTAAATTGTATATTAACACCTCTGTGTTCCACAGACAAAAATGTGAATCTCTGCTGTATTATGGTGCTTTAAAATGGAAATAAGAAGCCACTTTTCAGGTAATTATGCACTTGTCTTTGCCTTCCTGGT